GAACACAGCGTGAGCACCAGCACAGCGAGAGCATCAGCACAGCGCGAGCATGAACACAGCGTGAGCACCAGCACAGCGAGAGCACGAACACAGTGTGAGCACCAGCACAGCGAAAGCACGAACACAGCGTGGGCACCAGCACAATGAGAGCACCAGCACAGCGTGTGCACCAGCACATGAGAGCATGAACACAGCGAGAGCTTGAACACAGCAAGAGCACAAACACAGCAAGAGCACCAACACAGCGAGAGCACAAACACAGCAAGAGCACCAACACAGCGAGAGCACAAACACAGCAAGAGCACCAACACAGCGAGAGCACCAACAAAGCAATAGCACCAATACAGCGAGAGTACCAGCACAGTGAGAGCATGAACACAGAGAGATCATGAACACAGTGAGAGCGCCAGTACAGTGAGAGCATGAACACAGCGAGAGCATGAACACAGTGAGAGCACCAGCACAGCAAGAGCATGAACACAGCAAGAGCATCAACACAGCGAGAGCACCAGCACAGCGAGAGATGAACACAGCGAGAGCATGAACACAGCGAGAGGATCAACACAGTGAGAGCACCAGCGCAGTAAGAGCATGAACACAGCGAGAGCATCAACACAGCGAGAGCAACAAAGCAACAACAGCTGGAGCAATACAATAGCTGGAGCAACACAATAGTAAGTGCAGGGTCCTGCACTACTTTCCAGTGGCCATTTAAGGTTTTTTCCATGTTATTTCACAAGGACAAGGGACAACATCTGTCGTTATTATTATTATTATTATTATTATTAAGTGGCCAATAAAAAGTTTTTGGAGGGAAGCAGCTCATCTATAATTCACCCTGAATTTTTTGACAGTTTCTGTGAGCTTTTACTGGCCGTGACACTTGTGAAACTTTCCAGATAAGTCCGATAGTGAGATTCTCAGTACCCTTTATGTTTTTGAGGGAATATTTTTTTTTAATCGTGACTTTTGTATATGAATGATAACACAATGGGCCTGTTGGTCCAAAGAGAAGCATTCTTATCTGGATTGAAGTATAATTGTAATGTACACTTGATTTACGGTGGTGAATGTAGGGAAACAATATTATGGATCATGAGACATCAGAAGTACAGAGTTACAATCCCAAGTGTGCCTGATGATTTGTCAGCATACAGTCAAGGGGCAAAAGGGGCAAGGGAGATCAGATGGTTACTCCGGATCTTGGAGTTTGGTTTAAAGCTAAGATTTCATGGTGAATATTTAAACTCCTCAGGAGTATGTGCCAATTGAAATATCCCTTAATTGACAAGTTTACAAGTCAAAGGCACACAAGTCAACATTATGTGATAGAAGTAACATCTTCCATCTTCCTTAGGAAAGCTGGTGAGACAGGTGTCACTGAGGCTCCAAGTCCCTCACCTGTCTTGTAAGACGCAGGAAGGATGGTGGAGACCTTGACCCCCCAGGGTTCCAGCTCGTGCCTCAGGGTGTTGATGAACAGATTCAGGGCAGCTTTAGAGGCGCCGTAGGCAGCCAGGCAGGGAAAGGGCTGCTCCCCTGCGAACAGACCGGGAGACGGCACACATCAGCCTCTGCTTGGGACCCAGAATAGAAAGTTAGCTTGTCCGTCTGTAAACGCGTGACATACAATACTCTACCAAAATCCCTGCTCTTGGAATCATCCTGACTTTATAAGGATCATATTAAGAGGAGTAATAAAGATAAAATGTTCTGGCTGTGAGACCTTTATAGCATTATTTAGAGGTTGTCATGAGACAGAAAGTCCTAACATTGAAAACATTGACAGTTAACCTCAAAGACCCTGAGATTTTTTTTTAAAAATTGTTATTTCAGAAAGATTAACTGAAGGCTCTGAGCAGAAGCCACAGTACATTGTGAATTCCAAACCGTTTTACTACATGATGGGTGATCGTGCAGCTCACTGGCATAAGCATAAACACCATGTTCTGTTCACACTGAGAGGGAAACGTTCTAGAAGGACATAGTTCTTCCTGAGTGGGTGGGCACAAAGTCAAGTGATAATGATTAATTCTTTCCCCAAGTGGGAAGGACCGAAGCCCTGCCTTTTAGTGCAGGTCTCAGATAAAGAAATAAGGAAATCCAGTTCCCTCAACGAGGGCTCATTAACTTATGTGAATCTCTGTAAAAGAGTGGATTTGCCAACAACTATGACGTGGAAAAAAGATTCTGTATCCAATACATGATTGGAATCGCTCCACCTGGAAGATGTCTTTAATAAAATGATGTTTAGCAACTCTTTCACTCAAGTGAAATGTTCTATAGTAGTTCAGGTGGGGAGCTGCGTCAGCATGAGTAGGCTGCGTAGGCTGCAAAGGAACAAGTAATAGGTTTAAGGCTTCACACCTGAAGAAGGCTCCACAGCCGAAAAGTTGTGTTTTCTTTCTTTTTTTCAGCATGGAATAAACCTATTACATGTTCTATAATAGTTTGGCAGCCTATCAATGTAGCCCTAATAAACCTCCCTGCCATACTAGCAGGCTGGCACACTACATCAGAAAAGCTCAGCACTGCGCAACAACTGACTGGTTGACCAACAAAAAGTGTTTCATCAGCATAGTAATCCGCAGACCATTTGTTTCAAATCAGGATGCCATAATTGAGATAGCATTAAAATCCACAGGGAACAGGCTGTGGCGGATGTTGCAACTGCTGTACATTATATCATAAGCCCTGGCAAGGCCTCAGCAATCTGGAATGCCACAAAGACAGTTGTGTGCAGCACCGAAGAGACACACAGTATGTGTTATCACTCAAACCTCTGACTCAATGGAGCCTCTGTTATTAGAAAGCTACATGTCTTGTCAGTAAGGGCTGCAATTATAGTATGATTTTGGGGGTGGTAGGTTGAAGATGACTATATATATAAGTTGAATATTGTAGTTCAATGTAGTGTTTCATATTGCTTCAGACTTGGCAGCTGAAAAGGACTGAGGACAGGAGAGGTACCTGAGGGGCTGGAAACCGTCACAATCCTCCCTTTTGCTTGGCGCACCACTGGCAGGAAGGTCTTGGTGACGTCAAGCGTGCCGAAGAAGTTGACCTCCATGCAGCCCCTGTAGTTGGACGTGAGAGACAGCTCTGCATCGCCGAAGTTGACACAGATTCCTGCATTGTTCACCAGGCCCCACAGGCCTAAAGGAAACACAAGTGCAGGTCAAAGGCAGCTCTTGCACACTTTCAGTCCTGTGGAATTTTTACCCGTTTGTGCTCATCTGCAAAAATTGGAGGTATTTTCATTTTCCATAACATTTTAGAACATCATCCCAGTCCTTTAACAGCTGCAGTGTAACAGTGTCACAACCTGATTCCTTCTGGGAGAAACTCCTCTCCAAGTATGCTTTGGAGACGAGTAGAAAGTAATTGTGTAATACTTGGATACATGTGTCCGTGTTCGTGTGTGCCATTTTCAATAGTTAGAAAACAGTTCTTGTTTCTGCATTAAAACATATGTGCATCAAACAGGTTGCAAAACTACAGCGATCCTCTGTAAATTACTCATAGAGCAAAGTGCATTTTTTCTTTCAGTTCATTTAGCTTTTACTTCACTTATCTTTAATGTTTTTTTTGTTTTAACATATAGTCAATTTCAGTTCCAGAATTTAAATGTTCATAACTTTCAAGGCCACTAGGACATTCCAGGACACCACTGATGATTGGGACAAAGGGGTTGAATGTGAGGAAGACAGAATGATTGGGCAGGCAGCAAAGCAGTGATGGGTTACATAAGAGCCAGGGGAGCAGTGAAAATTGATCTAAAACATAATTCAGAGGCTCAGAAAGCATCAGGAGGCTAGAGCTCTGCTGAGACGTGCCTGAGAGGTGCACTGCAGCCTATATAAGAACAAATCTGCTTGAAAAGAAACATCTGTGGGCTGCACTCATCTTGGGGACCTGCGGGATGACCTTACACTTTTCCAATTTTTTGTTTTCCTCAGAATTGCTTATGGGGTTTGTGTATCATGAGGAAAATTGTCTGTGTTGGCTCTACAGGCTGAGAAGAAAACCAGCACTTTCCCATATCCTGGGTGGCAGCATCAGACTGGAAGAGTGACAGGCATTTGGCTTGTTATATGAGAAGAAAAATAATATAGTAGTAACAGGAAGTCTTTAAGTCCTCCAGAACCCAAAACAGGTGTAGCACAAAGTTAAAAACTTAACCCCTGCAGCACAAAGTGTCATTTTCTGTGTTTTAGAACATCGGATATATTATTTATGTTTCTTTACCGGAGCCACAATTCCTGCATGAGTCTACGTGGAAGCAATTCTAATTTTCTGCTTTTCAACCCAGCAATGTTATAATCTGTGATGTATTTCAATAGCAACATTAAATAACCACTTACTAAACCCTGAGAGGTAGGCATTACTGTTGACCGGAGAGGGATCTTAATGCTATGAGGCTGAGAGAAAATGAATCTGGTGACTGAATTCCAAAAAAGCTTCTTATCTTACAGTATCTCATTCTTTAATAGAAAACCAAAGAGGAACTTCTTTAATTTCTGTTTTGAAGTAAGTGCCTATATTATTCTCTCATGATACGGTACACTGAAATTAGTATCTGTGTTTCTTGATATGTTTTTTTTTAATCACCTGGAATGCTGCTGAGTTGCAACTGCAAGATATAGTAAAAGAGCAAATCTTTGATCTGCAGCCAAAGCCTTGCCAGCCCACAGGGAGTGGAGAAAGTAAGTAATCACAGGAAAGGCTGGGATCTACTGTACACTACACCATTCATACAAACTGCTCAACACAGGCCTTGCCTCAGCATGACACTTGTACAGCAAATATAACGTCTGTTTAAAACAACCGCCATAGCAACATGCAAAAATTCCTACAAACACCCTCCCACCACTCTCCTTTCCTGTCTTTTGAATGTGATATATATATATATTTGTGTGTTATTTACCATAAACCTCTGAATAGATTTGTGAAACTTGTACAACTGCTTTCACCAAGTGGGAAGCACATTTTGTTGTGGATCAAATCAAAAATAAATGATCAGAATCAACTTATCTAGTTTATTTGTTTTTAAAAAACAAACATCTTGATAATGGTTTTTAGATATTTCCTTTGAAAGTACTGCCTCACCTCTCCTGCCAAGCTTGTCCACAGTGCAGCGCAAGGCCTGCTGGACCTCCTGGGGCTTCGTGATGTCCATCTGGATGAGGGTCAGCCTGGACGAGCAAGCATGTTGCAGCTCCACAGCCCCCGCCCCACTGAGGTCCAACACACTGGCAAATACCTCGAACCCCAGCGCATCCAGGTGCAGGGCAGCTGCCTTCCCAAAGCCGGAGTCACACCCTGGAAGGGGCAGGAGCTGCTGTCAGAACTGACATCGCATACAAGTCCATCTCTCACCGTGACAAACAGGAAAACAGCACATTGAAGCTGGAAGGTGTCAAATGTATTCTTTAGGACTCTGATATAAGATTCCTCATAAAGCTAAAGTACTTCGGTTAGTTGCAGAGGCTTCCAGGGCATAAACATGTCCCAGTTTCTAAATTTAAACAAACTGCATCCATCAGAGTTTACATTCCCAGCAATGGTGTGTCCATGCAGGCAGCTGTGTGCACCAGAGAATCTGGGTTAGAGCACCAGTTACATCAACAGTGTCTACTTTGGAAAGCTTAATTCTTCCTCAAATAATAAGTCCAAGGTGCAGAACCTCTACTCTCACTCTCACTCTCACTCAACTCACTAAAAGCACTTCACACTACAGGAATGCTTTACTGATCTATTCAGTGATTAATTTTAGTGCATACTGGCATTAACCATATCATTCTGCAAATATTAATTCCAGGTGACGTGGATAGAGGAAGCCCAGCTTGTAACTGAGTCATTGCAGTGCATTATTTAAAAAATATACTTTGTGTCTAAGAAACCTGATCCACCTGTTTCAGAGATCGGTACAGTATCTATTTAATTTCATCATTCTTACCAAAGCTATCTTGAGCTACAGTATGTACAGTATTTAGATCCTGATTATTAAAAAGAAGAAATTGTGTGCCAGAACAGAATGCAACTGGCACACATTCAGTGCAGATAACTCTTCAGACTGCAGCTTGTATGAGAAGGGGTGAATAGGCAGAAAATTGCTTTGACTGTATTCCAGATTTAAATCTGATATATGGAATGTGACTGCAACATGATAACCTCCTCCAGGAACAAAACCGCAGTGTACAGGAGTCTGTACAATCAGAAATATCAATTTATTGCCAAAATGAACAAATGGGTTTGGTTGTCTCTGTAAAGGATAAAGAATTAACAAGAGATGAACCCTCATCATTTTTGTTTAATTCTGGCATGAGGAACTGTAGAGTATTTTGAACTCTTTAAAATATTTTCTGCATTCCCTGGCAGGTGGTTGTGTTAAGAGGTTCGTTGTCAAGTGTGTGTGCCTGATGGGTGGCGTTTTTTTTGGAATGAAAGAAATGAAGTGGGAATAATTGATACATGCACATACACAGAAATTTAAGAAGGTTCCAACTAAAATTAAACTACTTAAATTAAAAAGGAATTCCAAAACAAGTTTACATATCTGTCTTTAGTAGAGTGTTGGTTATTTTGATACACATAAAAGGTACAGTAGATGTAAAGTAGCAGTAGAGTTGTTACACATCTTGTTCGAAATCATGAACCTTACAGCTTCTTATGTCTCCGGTCCCTGATATTACTCTTCATATGACCACAGTCCTTCTGTTTTCCAGATCTCTATAAATTGCCCATAACTGGAGACCTGAGAAAAAAAGACCTTTTGCACTGTGAACTTTCAGTACCAGATTCTGTTACCCCTACTTTAATGCTAATCTGACTAGATGGCAATTAAAAACTCATTACTAAAACTGTGAACAGTTTTAAGAGGGGACATCACATAGATAAAAAAAAACATTAACAAATAGTTAAACTAAAGAGGTTTGAGCCGGGAGTTGTGTCAGTGAGCGCTAGCTGCACAGGAACAAGCAGAGGTTAATTCTTCACTGAAAAGTAGAAAGAAAAAACACATTTCAGCTGCTGAGTCTCCTTCTGGTGTAAGCAGTAAAACTAGTCTACAAGTTAATCTCCATACTCTTTGCAAAGCCATTTATAAACTTCTTTTGATCTCGAAAAGCTTTGCTTGAGACACCTAGAGAAGAGGTTTCCGTGAAGCAGTGACTGGTCTTGGGAGGGCAAGCCTTGAAGAGCTTCAACAGGCTGAAGTTTCTGCTGACTCCTCGCACCATATTGGTGAAGACGACCACAAGAGCACTGACTAGAGCTGCCAAACCACACCAGACCATCACAGAACAGCTGGGCTGCTTAACAGAAATACAGTACGTTCCTTAGAATATAGGACTGTTGTCTACTCTTACAGGGTGTGCACAGGCCTGAAAAAGTGAATTTGTTCTCATTTGACTTACCTGGTGAAATAAACGGAATTAAACACAACACGATGGGCAATTGATGATAACCCTAAACCAGCCCACAGATGTCCATGCTGTAACATGTTTCAGATGAATACATGGCTTTTGTAAGGTGTTTAATTGTTGCTTGCATATAGAGGTGAATATATAACCACACTGTTTGTAGATTACAACAGTCACCAAAGAGTTCACTCAGCTTCCAACGCAGAGGCAGTGAGAATGAGATGCTGTCTTGTCCAGAAGAGCATATGGCCTGTGAGCCCAAATCTGTCGGTTGCTGTATCCTCAATGGCATGATCTCATTAATCTCCCTGCAGGCAGAAAAGTCATCACTGATGAAGAGGACATACTGGTAGCTCAAGTGAAGTGGAATCACTAATAACAAGCTTTATAACAGAGGCCCCTTGGCTATGGTAAGGAAGACCCATCCACCCACAGCAACAGGCACAAGGCAGGATACACCCTGGACAGGATACCAGTCCATTGCAGGGCAGACACACACAGACACACACAGACACACAGACCCAGACCCAGACCCAGACACAGGTACACACCTGAAGAAGGCTCCACGGCTGAAACGTGTTTTTTCTGTCTTCTGTTTTCAGCATGGAATAAACCTATTACTTGTTCCTTCTCAAACACAGACACAGACACATTCACACCAATTTTCTCAGAAACCATGTTTTTGGACAGTGGGAGAAAACCCAAACATGGGAAGTAACAAAATTACACAGGGCACTCCAGGTCCAGAATTGAACCCTGGGCTCCAGTGCTGCAAAGAGGCAATGCAAACCCCTGCACTGTCCTAGAAAAGATATTCTGAAAAACATTTTTAAAAGATGAAAATATTTTTTTAATTAGTGCATTTCCATTTTGAAGATTTTAAGTTAAAAATCCTCTTCCACAGCTGGGAGTGTGGTAGCATGAGAATGGAACACTGGTACTCTGCTCCAGCCCAGATCTGGAGTCGATTACAACTGATCTACAGTGGACTTTAACCCACAACACAAACTCCAGTGGGTCCCACGCAACTCTCTATTTATTCAGTCTGAAAAATGAGTGGTGTGGAGGAGGAGGGGCTGTGCAGGGCAGGAATTAGGTGTGTCTGTAATCGGTCAGAGTAACTCTGTCACTGTGTCTGACTCCCTCACAGCGCTGAAGTCAAAACAACATATTCTAGTGCACAAGGAAGACAAATAAGGAACCAATTCCCATTGTGCCCACGACCATATCTGTGTCTTGAATTCCTGGGTGGAAATTGTAATTACAGTGAAACAGAGCGAAGCCAGTCCAGCCCAGCCAAGTCTGAACAGTGCAGGGCTGCACCAGCAAGAAGCTGGAACTTTGCGTTCTAAAGTTAATCCCAAAGGATCAAAAGCCTGTAAACAAGCTGAATGCAGCTTCCTTGTCCCCCAGTTTGCATACATTTAATGGACGATATGTTTTCAAGAACATACTGTATATGTCTGGTACATGTCAGTCAATGCTTGAAAATAAGATACGTAACGGAAAAACAAAATGTGAAAATAATCTGTTTAGTGGAGATTTGAAGAAGATAGTGGAAATGATATGGTGTGATTAAAGTGCTGTGGGCCTTAGTGGATATCACTGTTAGCAGGAAATTGATTTTACTGTATTTGAAAACACGTCTGCACCACACCTCTGCAAGCAGCACCTTGTTAAAGGTTACTGGCATACCACAATAAAACTCTCAAAACACCCCGTTGGGTGTGGAAGTGTTCTGAAGAGTGTGATGTCTTCATTCCCACCCTACACACTGCTCGTCGCCTTTGCCCCTGGTGTTGTGGGTGCTGCGCTCTGAGATCCTTATCAGACTGCCACATGCTAATCTGCAGTGTGTGTCCTGAGGACAGGAGCTTTTACCTCAGGAGAAAAGGGCTCAGAGGACACTCTTCAAGTTCACAACCAAACTGAAACCTCAGTTATGTGTTGTGAGTGGAGAGATATCTGGTTTGTGCTGTGCTTGCCACAAAGCATGCTACTGCAAAAAACACACAGGCTGCCACCCAAAAAATATTCAGAGCAATCATATCCAAAATGAGCTAGATTGTTTCACAACAGAACACAGCCCACAGACATATTTAGTAGTGAATATTTTCAAAATGATAAGAAATAGGGATTATTTCTTATAAATAACCTTGCCATTTCCTGGACTACTAAAATAATCAATTAAAATAATTTGTGCACATTTTAAATGTGCCCACAGATCTAAACATTCTGGCCAGTTCTCTTTTAAAATCGCTCACTTCTGGACCCAGTGGGTTTGAGGTCAGTAATGTGCAGGCGGTCTGTTCGCCGAGGGTTCAAGGGAGTGCCAGTGTGAGCAGCCATGCTAATGAGCTGAGTGTGCTGATGGCTCAGAACTAGAAATTGAGTACTTTGTGTTGATTTTGGCAGTGACTGACATGCACATGATGGCAAGAATAAAAACTTAACACAGCGGAAAATCGAAGTGGACTGCGGCAATATGTAATGTAGTTTGTACAAAGATCACAGGTTAATGGCTAACAAGAACTGCTTTTTGAACAAGTTAACTCTTATTTTCAACACATATTAAGAGTTACTATAGTTAGCAGTAAGAACATTCTACTGCCCTGTAGTGTGAACCCTTCTTTTGCTACATTCTGTTGTGATTCTAATTTCTTGATGCTTTATAATGAATGTTTTGACTATTTAGGCTACTGATTATACAAAGAAAATCTATCAGACTATATCCTGTCTGATAGTATTGGGCACTAAAGACTCTGTAAAGTCTATTACATTTTAAAGACATGGAATGAGTGCAGTCTACAGTCAATAACTGTACATAGATGTAGTTTTTTTACAGAAGTGCAATGCTACACAAAGTGTTCTAAGCAGAAATCATTACATAAGAGCATCTAGTGAGAATATGTTTGGCATTTGGTTTGCACTGCCTTTCAATGAGACTTTTGCACTGGATGGCTTCCAGGAATCCTGAGTAAATTTGATTGTCTCACTCTAGACAGTGTATGTTAAAAGTCATTCAGATTTTTCCACTGTATCACTCTGAGTTTGGGAAGCCCTGGAGTGGGGGTAGTGCCTTGAGCAGAGCAGGGCCAGGGTGGACGTTTATTGAAGGATAAAACAACAGACTGCAGCTGTGTACTGCACACCTTAAGATGATGCATCAGAATTCAATATATTATAACACGGAAATATTTTGGTCCCCATAAAGATAAGTTCAGAGCCTGCATCCCATAAGGCTTTTCACCATATTATTTTGTTTTTCTTTGCTGTTTTGTCTAGATCAGAGGTTAAATAAAAATGGAAAATTTTATGATTACTATCCTCTTTGCACAGCCTGTAAATATTTTTGACCAAATGGCTTTTGACCTAATTTCACAAGGGAAATATTTAATTCATTTCATTCCTTCCTTTCTGTTTGGAGAGCTGTGCTCATTCAAACCATTTATTCAGTCAGCACCATGTGCTTCTTTCTAGGTTTTAGCAATGGGCAACATTATTGCATATTCTTCCATAAACAGACCCTTCCTATTCTTCAGCCATGGAACAACCTTAACCTTAGTGCCCTGTACTTGCCATAGAGAAATAATAGGAACAAACTTGACATTCAAACCATTTAAAACATCCCAAGCACATCCTACTTCCAAATCTCTAACCAACGACTAACTTTTCTATGCACGAACATATGGATGTACAGTAGGAGGTATTGAAAATATCAGAGGCCATTAAGAGCTTCTGCTCTTACCTACAGTCTAGGCTGAGCCTTGGTACATAACCAGTAAAGGGTAATTCCACAATGAAAAATAGAAGAAACAATGTTTCAAGCTGTTGAGCTTGAAAGGTGAAGGTAAAGGAAGGTGAAGACCACCTTCACAACCGTCACCAAACAGATGAGTTTGTCTTTTCTGTTACTCACCGTGGGTTTAGCCTTTACTTGTTCCTTTGCAGCAAAAGCACACTGACACAGCTACCAACTTGAACATCTTCTAACAGAATTTATAGTCTTTTGTGGCTGAATGTAGGTTTTAACTTTATTTTCCCTATGTTATCCTGGTCCCTTACCCCATGTCTTTCCTGACACCTGCTGGGGCACTGCTGTGCTGACCATGTGCTTCAGAGGTAGACCTCTCCTTAGGAGGAGTCTTCACTCTTCACCCCTCTGCCACACCAGGGCTTGTCTCTGCAAGGCTCTGGAAGGCCAATCATTTACATAGTAAATGTCTGTGCTGTTTCTGCCATGCTTGGCAATTGTATTTAGGATTTTGTTTGAAGTCAGAGTTGGTATCCTTCGTAGTTTTGAAAGAAATTACCTTATGCCTTGGAAATGAAACTTGAATCAGATCCATTCCCACCCTCTAAATAAAATGTAACTTATAAGACAAAATCATTTTAAAGGATTTATTAATTCTGGTATTAATAACAATTTAATTTCATTTCTTTGTGTGGAGTGAAGTGGGGGAAACCCTCTCTTAAGGGTTGTGTTATAATATACAGTATATAATGAAATTCCTTTTTGTTTCCACTCATACACATTAACAGCAATTTAAATTCACTAGATCACTCTGTGTATCTGTGTCACAGTTTTGCCACAAGCACCTTGGAGGCTAAAGCTATTTCAGCTCAATGGTCTTAAAGAACACAGAGAATCCACACAGCTTGTATAATTTATTCTGTCTGAACTCCAATTCCATTGTCTTCAGTGCTCACTTAATGTAAAATGATTATTCCTGATGTATTGCAAAAGACACTAATATTGTGCCATTCTAAAACATTCCTGAATGATCAACACCAAGCCCACAGTTTTAGTCCGGCACAGAGTCATCTGGGAAGATTTGCAAGTCACCTAAAGCGAAACCACTTGTTGTTATTGTAGTCACGCACAGAAACGATAAAGGCATTGATAAGCCAATGACAATTAAGAGGTTTTAACTGCAAAGGCCTTTAAGCTTAAATAATACAATATTTGCTGTGCTTGTAATTCTTTAAAGAGGTTTAGCAATTACATTGACATTATAGTTGAATGTAATAAAACATGTAACATTTTATAAGCCATGATTAGGGCAATGACGCAGTCAAGGGCTTTAGCATTTATAATCCTTACTAACATGCATTGATCCCGTGTTTTCAGATTACCTAACAAGTGGCACAGAGTGATTAAAGTCTATACTTTTCGTACGATTCTGCAATAGGCCCATTGAAACACCTGAGTCACCCACATTGTAACACCTCAGTAGGTCAGTACTGCCTGGATCTTCTGGAGATACAGGAGCTATACAGCCTGGTGGCTGGAGATTAGTTGAACACG